GTATAAACTAGTAATATCCTTTTTTTCCCCCATGTGTCTCTAATAATACAACACCCTGTAATGTCCCTCAAGCTGCAGTGAGCTCATTTCCTTGCATAGTTCACCTGTTTGCCCGCTGCCTTCCTTCCTTCCTTGCCGCGCAGGGGCTGCCGCGGCGTCGCGCTGGGGCTGCTGCCTGGCCGCTGCGTGCTGGGGGCACGGGCTCTGCAGCCTCTCCCCTGGGTGCTCTGCGCAGCTTCTCGTGGGGCTTCCTGCTCCTTTGCATCCCAACAGCTCTGTCTCTAGCAGAGATCCTCCATCTGGGAGGTCCCTCTAGACAACTGGTGCTTCCTTCACACTGCCTTACTAACATCTGCCCGCTCTGAATGAGTCTGTGTCAGACATGTCTTTTTCATAAGCACCTTGAGACGCAGGGGCTGGGTCCATAATAAGCAGGGTATTTCAAAGTGACATGAGATCCCCGCCCAAGGGACCAGTCCTTGTAGCAGCCAAGTTGCTGCTACTGCCATCAGTGCCACCGTTAACTGTGGCAGCCACCAGGCTAACGTTACAGCAACTGTGATGAAGCTTAACAGAGGCATGAAACTTAATGTGGTATCTGCAGAAAAGAGTTGTCTTTAGTTCTGCTAAGGTGCAATATGAAGCATTTGCCAGTCCTGCTGCAGGGGCGCTTACTGATCTCTGCAATCCCATATATACTGTAGCCACAAGAGCATCACTGTCAGTAAACCCTTTTGGGTGAAAAAACCTCTTTTTGTTAAGGTTAGGAGTTTGGATTCTTTTGTATCTGTTCCTGATCTTGGAATTCCCCAGGAGAGGTAGTAGATGACACTTTTAAGCACCTCCTCCAATCTAGGGGGTACAAGACTGATGCTTGTATAGAAACAGATGATATTGAAGTGAAGGGTTCTGCTGTGTGACATTTTCCTCCTCCTGGATCCACATGCCCTGATCTAATACACTTCTGTGCAAGGAATGTAAAGGTACTGTCGGGTATGTTTTTGAGTGTGGTTTGAAGACAAAGTATTTGGTTTGGGCTGTCCTTTAGGAGTCAGTTGGAGGTATATCAGAAAGGATCTGTGAATATCCTCTTGTAGGTTGATTACCTCTTTCTCTCCCTTCCTCCCCCCACTCTCTTTTTCCTTTTAAAAAGTCTCTTATCTTTCGTGCAGACGCTGGAAGTAAAATAATAAATTGCTTTTGCATGGCTTATGTTCTAACACTTGTTAGCTTCTGTTTCTGACCTTCAGAAGCAAATACATTCCTCAAAAAGTTCCTTTCCTTAAAAGTTAAATTCCTTTTAGACTTCAATCCATAATTCTGGTATCTCTGCTAGTGCTCCAAGCCTCAAGTCAAGACACCAGAAAAACTCCTGTTGTGGGTGAGTGGGAGCTTTTCCTGCATTAGGGCTACTCATTTAGGCAGCAACCACACGAACCCGCCCTGGCCCCATTGCAACAAGACTCATGAAGCAAAGATCCCATCTGGATTCCTACCACACGCCTTCCTCGGCTTCTGTGCGTAGAGCAATTTTCAATTTCAAATGGTTTAGTAATGCAGTTTAGAAATGCTGATTTTTGGTCTTCAGCACAAACCTAAGGATAATACGCTGTTGACCATGAAAAGGCTTTTCAAGTAGAGCGTGTCTGTCTGTAGAACAGCTGGCTACAGCTGTGAAAATCCAGTCCTGCTCTGAAAATAACTTGCACAGTGAGAACTCGTGCTTTATTTGCTAAGAATATGTCCAGCTGCAAAGCTAGCTGAAGGTTATAAAATTCCGCAACTTTATCATCTGACATCATGAGATGTCAGTTTAGAGCTGTCCAGATTTGTGGCATCAGAGGACTTACATGAGGATGAAGTTGGCTCACAGTTAGTAGCATTTGGACACAAGCTTGACATAGAAAGAAGATTGATTCTAACCCATGAAGATTGATTCTAACCCACGACAGCCCAAAGGGGATTATAACAATATTTAAAAAAAGAACATTTTCTCAACCTGCCAAGACTTCACTTTACCCCTACGCAACTCTGTTAGGCCAAAGCCTGTGGGCAATATTTAGCATGCAAATCAAAATATCAAGCTTTCAAAGAGCATTCATAGCAAAATTCAGCAGCAGTTTAGCTTCGCAGAAACATTTTCCTTGTCTTTGTCACAATCTTTGACGAAATTCAAGTATTTTGTTTTAAAACACCATCCCTAGTATGAACGCCTGCAGTTCCAGTTTTTGCTCTGTCTCTTGGTTGTTCCTCAGGGGGCCTGGCCCTTGTTGGAGCACGTGCTTTTCCTGCCCGAGGGTGGCTGCCACGGGCACTTTCTGCCTCAGTGCATTTTAGCAGCTCTCCCGAAGTTTTCAAGTGTTTATCTTACACAGCTGAAAGTCTCCTCCTGTTTCATGAGCTCTGCACTGGAATGCAGTGGAAGAGACCCAGGGCCTGTGGCCACCCAGATTAGAGGTTTTTGTAATAAGGTCCCTATATGGTTTTGTTAGAGGCTTCAGCTCTGTCTCTGGCTGTCTCTGCTCCTTGTTTGGGAGGCTCGTGGGAGGAGAGGAGCCGAAGGGGCTATATAACCTTGGAGCATTCGGATGCAGAATGCACCATCCCGGAGCAGCTACCCCAGCTGAGCACTGCCAGGGTAAGTGGGGCTGAACCAAAGCAAATGACACATTTCTGGAGGACTTTATTAAATACGGTCAAATGGAAGCTGTTCAGGAGGATGCACTGTTGTGCTGTACTCTGCTGATGCATTTATTAGAGATGGATGGATGCTGAATTGCTTGTAATATCCATACTGCATTGGCTTTATTTTCATAGCACTTTTGAAAGGGAAATAAAATTCTATCTCATATTTTTGCTGATTTCACTGACAGTCAAGCAATAGTGTGAAGACTGTGATGCCACCACTGAAATTATGGTTGTGCCCATGTTCAGATTAACCTGTGTAACCCTGGGATAATGGTTTTGGACAGAATGATATTCTGCATGGGGTGAGTTTTTCTGCAGTAAAGCAGGGCTTTTTAGCAAGTTTGCTTAAGTGCTCTTAAATCTGTGTAAAGTGGCATGTTTTAAGAAAGTGTTTTGTGGAATGTGGCTGTAGAAGAGCTAAGAAGTGTGTGAAATAGCAGTGTCCAGTCTGATACAGTAAGGATGCCTGTGCATTTGTCCTTGTCTCTGTGTGTATGAAACCACTGTCCTGGAAAATGCCAAGTATTTCTTCGGGGACACGTTACCTACAGTGTTTCCTGTGAGGCCGGAGTTCTTTCAGCAGGTTGCTGTGGAGTTTGGTGAGGTGACTGGCTGTATTTAAATGGAAAATAGGTAGATATAAGCAGCTAAATACTGTATGAATTATTTGGGAGAGAAAAATACTCTTGTTCCACAGTGCTGAGTGATATTTGCTGCTGTGGGATGTTGCTGTTGCACGCTATGATAATGCTGAGCTGTAACTTACTGGCTGGCAGGAGAACACCCTGTCTGAAACCATTCAGCTCTGATTTCTTCAACTTTTTGTGCTTTATTACTAAATATGGTTTTCATTTAGAGTTCACTAAGCTCAGAAATGTAGCCTTTCCTGCCCCCTCCTCTTCCCTCCCCCAAGTGGTTTTTGGCATTGCATTAGCTGCTTTGGTTTGAGCAAACCCCCTGACCTCGAACTCTGTTCCAAAAACAGACGCTTGAAAAGCCCGTTTCCTAATTAGGAAATGGTTCGTCTAAACCAGCCCCTTCATTCATGTTAGATAACAATTATACTCCATTGACTAAATGTTCGAACGTAAAGAACCTGTTTTCTCAGGAGTTTAATAAATGGAAAAACTGCATCCTAGTTTCCATTTTTAGTACAAGCAGTAAAATACCTGGAGCATCAGGTCAGGATTCCGTGTCCACGTCTTCTCCGGGGGCTGTGTCCGTGCAGGCTGCAGCCGCCGTGCTGGGGAGTGACAGAGCACCTCAAAAGGAGGATTTGGGAGAACTGTCCGTGTTTCCTTCCATGTGCCAGAGGGGCTAAGCAGCATTTTCACGTTCCCTTTCTCATCAGCCAGGGCTCGCGCTGAGCCTGTCCCCCTCTTCATCCCGCCCTTCCAGCATTCCTGTGGCGGATGGTTTTGGTGGCTGTGTGTGGAGTCAGCTGGATCTGTGCATCGCAGCTGTCTCCTCTAGCTGTTAAGGCTCTGCACGCGAGCCCGGGCTCAGAACCAGCCAAGGGATTCCCCTGCCGCAATACAAACTGTGGGCAAATAGTTCTGCAGTCTCGGTACTTGGGGATTGTTTCTATAAATGACTTCAGTACAAACCCTTCAAAGCATTTTTACTCTCCGTGCTATTGTCTGTTGCCTGAGGAGGAAAACAATTTCTGTTTTACAGAGTCAGGGAGCCAACGTGAATTCCATTGCCATTTTACAAATGCAGTTTATTAGACAGTTTGAAATGATGATGGAGCATGTGCTATGGCCTATTTTTAAAATACAGACTTGCTTGTAAAGGCAGAATCTTTTTCTGAATGAGTAAAGAAAGGTTGGGAGAAGCTTTTTTTTTTTTTTTTAAATTAGGAACATTGCCTCACTCTTAAAATGGGAAATATAAGTGTATTTTGCTATCTTGACACAGTGGGATAATACCTGTATCATTAAAATACCATTGGCGCCTGACTAGTATTTAATGTGGCTTGTCTTATGGATGCCCAAGGGTGGTGTGGATGAAGTGCTCTTGCCTTTAAGGGCTTTCCACGTGGGCCCGAATGCTGTCAGGGGAGTACTGTGCTGAATCTGATGCAAAGGGATCTCTGTTTTTGCAGCTGTCACTCCAGCATTATTTATTTCTTCTGCCCCAGCAGTAGATTTTTTGACCAAATTTAGATAAATGTTTGCTATTTAGATAACATTTGCTACTGGCCTGTCTCTCCATGCAGCAGGACTGGAAGTCTCCTTTGGAGTCCCCTTGAATTAACTCTTGTGCATACAGTTCTCCTGCCAACATGCTGAAAATTTTATTCTTTTCCTGCTATTTTCTCTCAGGAGGACCTAAGGACACTGACATAGAAGATGTGTGAGGAAGAGGACAGCACTGCCCTTGTTTGTGACAATGGGTCCGGGCTCTGTAAAGCTGGCTTTGCTGGGGATGACGCTCCAAGAGCAGTTTTCCCTTCCATTGTGGGTCGCCCCAGGCACCAGGTAATGAACTGGTTTGATTATTTCCTACTGGATTTCTAGAAGTTCTTGCTGCCCTGTGCCCAGGTGTCCATCCAGATCTACCCTCTCCTGTGCGTGGGGTAGCCCAGCCCTGAGCAGTTTGTGTAACGTGCCACAGTCCAGCCATTTCTCTTCCCTTGACAGCAGAATCCTGAAAATTGTCACTTCTTTCTTTTCCCTGCCCTCAATTTTAGGTCATCTGGAATATTTGTCAAGTAAAGCCAATTTTAAAAACACAAATCCTACAGAGAACTATTTGGAAATTTTGACTGCACAAAGTTTGGTGAGAGATGATTTGGAAAGAAGGAAGAAAAATATTTCAGTCGGCTTCCTGTTAACTTTCCTGACTTGATTCATTTAGTTGTATCACAAATGAGCAGGGTCATTTGTGTATGGCTGAGTTTCTGTAGCTTAAAGGTTTGCAGTTGAGCCTATAATGCTTTACAGTTTGTTTTATTAATTTAAAAATTCTGAGATGTTAAAGAGAGTTTTGAGCCAGATCACCATTAGCATGAACAAGAACAGTTAACTAGGCCATGTAAAATGAAATGGGCTGCTGAATTTTAAGATCTACCTAATTTCTTCTATGCCATCCAAGGACCTGGTGAAATGTAAACCGGTAAATTGTTTTTAATATGTTTGGCACTTGTATACATAGGAAATACATTTTAAGTTTTTCAGGGCAGGAGAAATGTATGCTTTTCCATACAGGTCTGGAGATTTAACTGAGGCCTTTGGGTGTTACCATAATTAAAAAGATAATCAAATATCATTCTCCGTAGACCATGTGAATGATGTTAATTGTTCAAAAATAAGCCACACAGTCACTGTGGGGAAAAAAATATTGCAGATTTCTAGAAATTCCCTTTCCTGACCACAGATACAGATGACATTAGTCCCCTGATGAAAAGATCACCCCATCATAGACCGCAAATCCAGATTTCCTGTTTCCAAGACAGGTCAGTTTAGAGAAGACAAGATTTAGAGCATGTCATGACTAAATTCTGATAAGGGAATAAGGCAGTCAAAACACCCCAATATACTTTTATTTTCCCTTGTATTTCCATTTTCAATGTAGTAAGAGGCTACATATCCAAAGCCTTTTTTGGCTCCAGGGACCACTTCCAGATCCATGAAAATACCTAAAAGGAAGCATATACCAATAGATTTAAATTGCCAGTATCTCCAAAAGCAGTATTTTAGTATTCGAAAGAAAAAAAAAAAAAACAGAACAAAAAACAACTAAGTTTAAAAAACACTGAAATTCAAACTTTGGGAAATGTAAAGTGTATATTACTCACTCTTGACCATTAGATGGCACAACTTTGCTCCCCGCTTTAACTCTACTTCATGATACTTTAGCAGATAGTTCATCCCTAAATAATAATGATCATTAAGATAACCCTATTGATCAATTTAACATTGTACTTGTGCTGCTTATCTAAACAGTAATGCAGATATCAACTTCAAAGGTTTAACTAAAAATTTAATTTTGTAAATTGAAGAACAATGAGTACTTCTGCAACATTAGCTTTCATAAAGTATTTTGTAACTGATGCCATTGGCAACTGGATGTATCTGACGGGTAATGTTCTAAATGCTTTGTTCTGATTACTATGTTAACACCTGTCTTTGGGGGACTAACTCCTTTTGTGTCCTTTTGTAGGGTGTGATGGTCGGCATGGGTCAAAAAGACAGCTATGTAGGAGACGAGGCTCAAAGCAAGAGAGGAATCCTGACCCTGAAGTACCCCATAGAGCACGGCATCATTACAAACTGGGATGACATGGAGAAGGTACTTCAGCATGGCAAAAATGATGTGTATGAATCATAGACCTACTTGGTCTACAATTTCCTGGGTAATCTGTCAACATTAGGTTCAAAGCGTCATGTCATCAAGTACAGTTTAGTAAGAAGCTTGTTAGCAACTGAAGCCAGACTAGCAAAGCTTAATGGGCATCAAAAGTTGAAGTATCTCTAGGAACACATCAAAATGGCTTTTAGTTTTCTTTTTCCTCTCTACACATCTTTGCTATCTATTGTAAAGCAAAAAATAGCAATGTCTTCAATTTACTAGTGAGAAAATGGAATTGAACAAGGCATCTCTGTTCTTGAAAAACTCTGCAGCATGTATGTAATTTTGATATGAACGGCACTGCTTACAGATATACGTTTTAATATTAGTTTTAATATTATTATTATTTAATAACATTTTAATATTATCAGTCTAATAATAATAGAAGATTAGAAATACTAAGAATGAAATGAATCCATTTCAGAGGTAGTATCTGGATGAAAGTATTGTGATACACTGTGGAATTAGAGCTGTTCCGAGTGGCCATGACAGCACAACACACTGCAGAAGAGTGTGGAGCCACACAGGATTAATTCTTGTAGCATCATAGGCTTTATTGGGGAAAATAAAAAAAGTATTTCAGAGACGTAACCAACAAACCAATCTGTAATCACCACCAGCTTGAAGGCAAGCTTAACAAACCTGTTTTGGTATTTAGAAACTCTCTTGTGGTTTATTCTTATTGGTGAATTAACTTCCTCATTACAGCCCACTCAGCCTCATATTTTATGACTGATAAGAGCATGAGTTGGCCATGAGGAGGTGGTAAACACTTGTTGACTTTTAGTCCCACAAAAATAGCACTTTCATTTCTTATTATGAATTCTTGGGCTGACCTCTATAAATCAAAAGAAGAAGAAACTGTCTTCAAGAGACCCATTATCTATTGAATGCTACTGCAGGGATCTCTGTGTGTTCTAGAATAACCATCTTTTAAGGAATGCTTAAACTATTGCACTTTCAATCAATATTGATATTGCTTCTTGAGGGTCTATCAAAAAGATGGAAAGGAAAATGCATTTGTACACTTGGGTCCTAATGCTATTTGCCCCTGGGATTTCTTTTTTTGACCTGAAATAAGACAGTTCCCTTGGTTTATGTAAATCGGTAGAAGGCCAAAATGGAGCAAAAAGATACAAAAGGAACCAGTATCGACATTTCCATATTATATTTGAAGGGCAATTTAGAGTGAAATAGCCTCGTTTCAATCAAATCTGTCCTGCCCTGTCTCTTCTACTGTAAGAACAGAATCTTTAAGAATCTTCTTAAAAATAGTATTTTACTAGCAGTAAAACCCAAGGATAGTGATTTTCTTTTTCCGGTCCCTTTGGTAATCTCTACGGAGGCAATAAGACCAACTGCATCAGTAACCTCTCTCTAGTAGGCAGTCAGCAAAGCGCTGGAGCAGAGTAGCTGGCCAGAAGTGATTTTGAGATGTTGGTGATGGTGTTTCCTTTCTTTGTCCTCAGATCTGGCACCACTCTTTCTATAATGAGCTCCGTGTTGCACCTGAAGAACATCCGACTCTGCTGACAGAAGCACCACTGAATCCCAAAGCCAATCGAGAGAAGATGACCCAGGTAAGCAATAATGTGCAATAATTCCGATTTTGTGAATTTAGGAGAATCTGAGATTGATCATTACAGTTAGTTGTGCCAGCTTGACTGTCCAGTTGTCCTCAGTACTGAGTTAGGAAGATAGAATAGTGCATAGTGACAATCTGTCAAATGGGCACAATCTTTTTGAATCAGTTTTGACTGTGAAAACTTAGGTGTATCCAAGCTGTTATCTTCAACCTTTTTAGGGCCCAGGCCTATTACAAAATTATCTTTAATACTTGTATGTATCTGCAGATACTGAGAGATGCCTTAAAGAACACATGTATCTGTATTCATAAATTGTGGTCCCAGGCCAGATACTGAGAGATGCCTTAAAGAACAAATATTTTTAGACTTAGATGTGTTTTCTTTCCTCAACATTACAGGCCATAAAGAAATACGAAAATCCTGTCTTTTCTCTTTCTTTCAATGTATTGCTTTAAACTACAAACCCTGTTATTAAGGTAACTATTTTAACTGCATTTCAGATCATGTTTGAGACATTCAATGTACCAGCCATGTATGTAGCTATTCAAGCTGTTCTGTCCCTCTACGCTTCTGGACGTACCACAGGTAGGAGGCTTCTGGGGAAGGTGGCACAGGCCTTCTAGACAGCTGAGTGTGTTCCTGTGCAGTTGAGAATGAACAACTTGTGTTATCTGCTCAAAGGGATTGTGCTTGACTCGGGGGATGGTGTCACCCACAACGTGCCAATATATGAGGGCTATGCCTTGCCTCATGCCATCATGCGTCTGGACCTGGCTGGCCGTGATCTGACAGACTACCTCATGAAAATCCTGACCGAACGGGGCTATTCCTTTGTGACCACTGGTAAGAACATAGTGCAAACCGAGCAGAAGAGTTATTTTAATGTGTAGTGTTTCTAATGGCCTTAAAAGGAATAGCGGTGGTTCTACAGCTGCTTGGAAAGTTGCATGAAGGATTCCGACAGGAAATTGCCCTTCAAGTCTGTCGGAGAATTTCTTTAAAAAATGGGGAAGGTGCTAGAGAAGGAAAGGGAATAACCTGTATCAAAATGCTTAGGTCCTCCTTAAATGCCATTCTAAAGACTGAATCCTCTCAACAGCGGAGCGTGAAATTGTCCGTGACATCAAGGAGAAGCTGTGCTACGTGGCTCTGGACTTTGAAAATGAGATGGCCACAGCTGCCTCATCCTCCTCTCTGGAAAAGAGCTATGAACTTCCTGATGGTCAGGTGATTACTATCGGAAACGAACGCTTCCGCTGCCCAGAGACCCTCTTCCAGCCATCTTTCATTGGTAGGTTGAATGATTATCCTGACCAGAAATATCAGCCCATGTTCCTTTTGAGTCCTAGCCATTGCTGGCTTACACGAGTATGTGCTAGGATCCCCACTACAAAGTGACATTTTAGAACAGAACTTTTAATAGGATTGGAGGAACTTCATGTTGAACAGTAAGGCAAAATGATTTCCCAAAATAAACTGTGAATGTTTATTCCTCGATTCTGGCTTTGGGCACCTGTCATTATGTAGCTGGCTACTCTGCAAAGAATGGCTACAGAGCCGCTTTTCTAAACAGCGTGAGGACTGTAGTTTGAATGTCCTTGTGGGGGACAGGGGAGCACAACTTCTAGTCTTCCAAGACTGCTCAGAGTTCTGTATCCACAGTGCCTTCACATCTGCAGAGCGCAGCTAACTTCATGCCATGTTAATCAGCTGTGGTGAAGGCAAGCTTGTAGTGAGGTCACATAGGAATCCAGTGTTGGTTCTGCCAATGGGTAGAATTTGAGCTCAGAAATGGACAAAGTAGTTGCATACTTGGATGTATTAGGACATATTTTGACTGTTCTGTCTCTGAGCTGGCTCAACATAAAAAAAATAAAGAAAACAAATGATTTCAGAACCATATAAGGAAGTCTTAGGCCACTTGAGGTTGTCTGCAAGAGCCTACTGGAAACTCTACTGTTCCACTGCCCCAGCCTACTTTTTATGGAGGAATTATGTATAAATAAGGAGAGGAGGAGGACTGTACCCCAGGGAATTCCTAAGTAAATAACCTAGGCAGTTGCAGAATGGCTTTCCAGATTCCCACAGCGACTACGACTGGTATCTTCCAGAGGGTCACTTCATAGTGGTGGTTCTATGTTAACAATTTTAAGTCTTTGTATGGAGCTGCTTCCTTAGGGTTATGCTTTAACTTCTGCAGGCATGGAGTCTGCTGGCATTCATGAAACTACTTACAACAGCATCATGAAGTGCGACATAGACATCAGAAAGGATCTTTATGCCAACAATGTGCTGTCTGGTGGCACTACCATGTACCCAGGCATTGCTGACAGGATGCAGAAGGAAATAACTGCTCTTGCTCCCAGCACTATGAAGATCAAGGTAAAATGCAATTATTTGTAGACTATTTGATTTGACAAAAAACTAATGAAAAACGGCACCACTTAGATCACTTTGTAGATATCTTTAATCATTGTATATGTTCTTGCAAATAATCATCCAAAGTAACTTTGTTGCTAGTGAAAGACGGGCCTGTCTCCTTTCCTTATTCATGCTGAATTCTGCAAAAAATGCCCTAACAAGGACTACGCACCAAATCAGAAACACAGATTTTTCTCTGGGGCTTTGGGAAGCTTCTTCAGCCCTATTAGGCTGAAATATGGGCATGAAAGAGAGGAAATGCTGGTTTTGTCCTTGGCCTACACAATCAGAAAATCAAGAACCTCTGACAAATAGGTCTTCTTTCTGCTGCCTCAGACTCCTCTTCCTTGCTTTTCAAGCATTTTCCTGGCTCTGCCAACAAGGATATTCCATAGGCCACCTATTTTTCCAGGATCTCTTGGCTGTCATTTCTTATTGCCAGACTAATTAGTTCCCCCTTTCTAATTTCCAGTCATGAATATGCAAGTGCACAACTCCTGCTGGGTAGGCTGAATCAGTCAGACAGTTTAAGTCTGGGACTTCATTTCTCAATTTCTCTAACTTTACTGCTTGCAGCAGTGGCTACCTTTATTAAGGGATGACACTAGCATATAGATAGAGTGTTTTCATTGACATCAAATATAACTGCTTTGGGAATTTTGTGTTAACAAATGCATTTCATTCACAGTGCAAGGTTGTATTTGATTCCTTTGTTTCTTGAACAGATTATTGCTCCTCCTGAACGTAAATACTCGGTCTGGATTGGAGGTTCTATTCTCGCCTCCCTGTCCACGTTCCAGCAGATGTGGATCAGCAAACAGGAGTACGACGAAGCAGGCCCATCCATTGTTCACCGCAAATGCTTTTAAATTGCTTTACATGTTTCTTTAGTGTATTACTGTGAATGTATTCAGGAAGATACATTCTTATAACTTCATTCCATAAATCTTTTATCATAATGACTCTGATTAATTGGATACTATGTATTTTTTGGAATAAATATAAAGATGCTACAAAATTGCTGCTCCTATTTTACAAAAGAAACATGCATTTGTGGAGACACCATTACAGCTGGTTTAACGCTCCATCTGGTGGCATGAATTTGTTATTACATTATGCTGGGCTCAACAGGAAAAGTGGAACCTTTTGTTCAGGGACGTGAATGATAGAAAGTGCTCGGCTATCGGTGTCTAGCCAGTGTCCAGCTTCACTAAATATTCTTGTCTGAAAACACCCAGTCTTGAGTCTTCTAAAGTTCTGGGCAGCTTCAAAGGCACAGAACATCTGACTTACACAAAGATGAGCACATGCACTCTGCTTTGCACCTGGTCTATCCAGAAATAATTATCTATCCACATCACTACTTAATTGACAGCTTTAATGCTGAAAAATTCTTTTAGTGTATGTGTGGCCCGGAGGTACTACAGCAATTCAGTACTTCCTCTTTAAAGAAACTAAACCTGCTCCTTGGGGGGGCAGGACCAAGCTATCTCATTAGACCAAACACAGGACTTTGTTAATATATGCCTTCAGGGTGAATGCAGACCTATTATTTTTATGTTGTGGTTTCTGGCATGGCCTACAGCATAATTAAGCAGGCTTAATATATTTTCTCTTTTGACTTGTTTGAGGTAATGTAAACAAAGCAGATAAAATAATTTTAGAACACCTTTTTCTGTGATTTTTCTGATTCCATTTATGGTCTTAAACACATTGAAAATAATGCTAAACTAGAAATACATGTATAGGAACTGAAGCCAGTATTGCTGTCTTAAAAGTGTATATATAAATAAAAAATTCACTGAGTGATGTCTGGAAAAAGGCCAGTTTAAGAAAATTGCTGTCATCTGTATTTGTTAGAATTCAGGATACAGGCTGCTATTTATTTTTGATATTCACTTACCTGTTCCTCCTTATCTTTCAGACTGTAGGGTCTTTAGAACAGCACCTCTTTCTTACCATGTCTGCTAACTCCTGGGTTCCTGATCTTGTTCAGCCAACTTCTGAGGATTAGTATATGTTCCAAGGTTTTTCATATTAATCTTATTCTTTCAAGTACAGGTGATTTAGATTCTGAGTCAACTCTTGTAAGGGGAATATTACTTTGTATGCTTCTTTCTTGTAACTCTAGAGAGATCTTCTAATCCAGCTCCAGATAGCTCTTTCAGAAGCAGAACTTCCTTTCAAGTAGAAGTTTCTGCAATAGAGCTGCTGCAGAAGACACCTTCCTCCAAGAAAGTCTGATGCATCTCTGTTATTCCAGGATATGATGGGGGATCAGCTCTCAGGTAAAGAACTTGTGTTTTCCTAAGTGATTTCTGTTTAACAACATGGCAGAAATCAGAAGTATACGAAGATGGAAAGGGGGAGGTGTGGAAGCAGAAGGACAAGTCACCCAAGCTGACTTATTTGGCTCTACTATGTGTAATATAAATCCATTGAAGCAGTTAGAACTGCAAGTACATAGCTGCAAATCAGGAAAAGTCAAAGGTTGTCAAAAATCTGCAATTCTTAGAAGACAATGCCAACAGTGACAAAAGAAGCATTACTTCAATAGCATTACAGTTGTGTGATGTTCATTTTATTGTGCTGTTGTATTATTGAGATACATTTAGAGTTGCAGGGCTGTCACTGAACTCCATCTTGACAGAGCAACAAAGTAACTCCAAAATGGTCAATAAATATCAAACATTCAATCCAAAATGTATAAATATAAAAGTCATTTCTGAAAACATATGAAAACTGGAAGCCATTTTTTAATTTTTGGCCACTCACCTAGTAGTGGCCACTATTGTCCATCTGTATCACCTCAGATCCAGCACAATTATCTTGATGTCTTTCCCGACCACATGCGTGCATGGCTGTAGAAAAAGTCAACCCATTACTCACAGAAATCATTTTGAGTAAAATAGCATATGTGAGTTATTGTTTCCTTCTGACATTCTGGGTCTACTTAAGATTAGGCCTATATATAGGACTTTAATTTTACCTGTCACTATGCCTGTTAATAGACAAATGTATCTTCACAGGTGTAGATTGCTAAGCAGGACAAGGATTACAACATGCAATTAGACAGAGATTTCTAAGAAGGCTATTGCTATAAAACATCTCTAGAACCTATAAAGCACAGTGTAGTTCTGAGTAGTAGTTTGAATCACAGCATGGTGTACTGAAGTGAAGGGGCAACAGGCTTTATGCTGGGCAACGGCAGCAAGCCAAGCTTGAAGTCTTCTTGCTTTCTGCAGTAGCTTCAGATGTTTCTACTCAAATAATACATTTTTTTAACTATCACTTAGTCATGACTGTGTCTAATGGCACTAACTAGTCGTAAAAGCTTGTGATGTGTCTGTGGAAAATAACTTTTATTGTAAATCAGATGGATGCAAATTAGGATTGTTCTGCTGATCAGTTTTCATGAAGTTTCTTGTATTATCACACCTGATATTTTTCTTTCAAGAAATAAGGCTATGATCTTCCTATTCTTGTCGGAAGATCAATGTGTTTTGAATATTGTACTTAAAAGGAAATTTGTGATACCAGTAGCTTGCATAATGTTTGTAAATGAGTCATTTTTGAGGATTAATACTGATATTCTGAGTACTGTACCACAAAGAAGTAATTCCTAATGTCTTTTAAAAATATTATTTAAATGCATTTGATTATTTGATTTTGAGCTGTAGCCTTGAGCTGGTCTGTCTTTAAACTGAGCTCCACTTAAAAATCTTAATTATTCAAAGGTAAAAAGATCACTGTCTTTTAGGAAACAATGACATTTCATATAATTATGAATGACTACTGTTCAGCCATGCAAACAGCATATTAGACTCTGAAAACACCGAAGAACATTGTAGTTCTTGAGGAAAGCTTCTGAAAAACTGGGGGAAAGTTACAGATAATGAAGGAAATGGTGTTTAATTAATTCACAGTTGCACGTTGCAGCATCTGGTCTGTTCTGTTGGAACCCCACAGCTGGGGAGATGAACTAATTTCTTTGTTTAAAAACTGGACAGCTCATGAACAACTCTTGTTTGAATCTGTGGCATTTGCTTCTGTTGAAAGCAAGCAGAAGTCATAACTGATGGAAACTGTCACTCATACAATTACTTGAATGCAGGTATTGACCTTCAGATAGATTTCTGATAGCTCTACCTTTCGTTGAAGAAAAGATAATGAAAAAGAAGGGGAATGTAATGAGTTAGAAAAGGTAAGAAGAAAAGGTAATGAGTTACAGTATTCTAAAGTGGGGAAAAAGTATAAAGAAACCAGGTTTGAAGCAGGTATAGTTTCTGCAGCCAGGAGCAATAACCTGCATAGTAAAATCATGTTGGATTATATACTTACATTAAATAGCCTAGGCTCCTTTGTATGTGGGTGAAATCCCTTCTTTTTACAAGCAGAAACTTCAAGCATGCCAGTGTTAGTAAGTCTGAAGATGCCAGTGCTAGAAGTAAAAGATGAAACTGCTGTTAATACTGCCCTTGTTCTGGAAGTGCAGGATTTCACATACAAATTGCTTGGCTCAAGAGAAGGACAAGATGATACTCAATAATGTTTGATTCGCAGGAGATAAGGCTGGGTCAGATTCTTATGACCCCTATAAAAAGTCATAATAGGATCCATGGAAGTCAGTTCTAAGAGCAGATGGCCAATAATAAAGTCTGAAAAAAAATGCACAGTACTCAATAATGGCCCTATGGGTTGAAATGCCAAACACAACAAAGGCTATACATCTCCACAGAAAGTGTTGTGCAGCTCCAAGTTCTAACCACATACTTACTCCTTGTATTTATAAAGTATAAAGATAGGACCTTAAATGTCTGCTTTCCTTCTCTCCTCTTTTGCAATTTTCATATCATCCTAGACAAACACCTCTAAACCCTTCTACTTCCTTCAACAGAGAATTAAATATAGGTGTCTGGCAGGCCATGGCCAATAAGACCTACAGGAAAGCATCTTTTGTTGTCACTACTGGCTTGGGCAGAGCATAAAAACACATAAAAATTAAAAGCTGGGCCTAAGGGGGCAGCAGGAGAGAAATGCCAAAAACAATACTGTGCATACACTCTCACTGGAATGTAAGTCTAAGCACCATAAAGAAAACAAACTCGCCCTACACCCACTCCTATCCTTCAGCCCAGTTTGTATTTGATCAAGTTTTAAGATAAGAAGCAGAGAAAAATATCTAAACATTACTTGGAAAAATCAGAACTCACTCATTATGCTTTGGTGAACAAACAATTGCAATGGCCTCTGGTAACATTAGCTGATAAGAACAATGAGTATGAAGATCGACACTGGATAAGAATGCAGTTTGTGTTGGATGTGTCTACAAAAAGAAAGGGAAATCTCTACATCATGAAATACTTCCAGCAAATCACAGTTGACATACATTCTAGAAGAAACAATAGTTTGTAACAACTAAAAGTATCAGTAATTCCCCCAGACTGAATTCTTAACTTTCTATTATCTCAGATTCAGCATCATCAGGGTAGCTTTTCAATATGAGGTTCATGGAGGCACATTCACAGTCAGATGTACAAACAATTTTCTGATCATGGGGGCAAAAGCAAGTGGAATGAGGCAGAACAGGACATAGGGAAATGTCTTGACTGGCCAGAGTTCCTAAGAGTGAAATCACAGTCCATGTAACTAACATTTAATTAACATTTAAGTTTCAACTCAATACTACCCCCAAATTAGATTTTGACTGTACAATGAAATAAATGTAATTAGAAAGTAATATAAGTACCCTTAGATAGACATAAACAGAAGCTGTACTTGTGTCAACTAGATGCCTCATAACTTCCCTGATTAAGAAATACTATCTGTGAAGAACATTAAGGCTCAGTTACATCCCAACAATTAGTATTGTGAACAAATTCATTTCTATCATACAAGTTATTCTTTTAGCTTATTATTTCCAGGGGTGGCTTCATACAGCATGCAGAGCCAAAACACAAAAGCCAGAACCTACGTGGTATACGTACATGGATCCACCCCAAAGTAAGGAGATCATACTGGTCCTGAACACCAAATAATTCTTCCACATTCTCCATGTCGCAGTAGTCTGGACCTGCAGACTGCTTTGGCACTACTACATGGGTAATAGTAAATTGATTGTGTGTCTGCAAAAAACAAGCATTGAGATGATGGCGCAGAGTGAAACTAAAATGAACTAAATGAACTAAAAAAATCTGAATCTGATAGGATAGGAATTTGAAACATGCCCACCCCAGCTATATTCACCTAAAATACCTGGATGTACACATTAGCGTTTTATTGTGAAAATACATTGGGCAGTATTAGTAACAACAGGAGGTGGCTGTATTTGAAGTATTTGTAAATCAATGCTACAGCTTGACAAGGGCATTTTCTTCTCCTTTTTTGTTGTTATGAATTTGATGACCCTAGCAGGCATGCAGCAGGCCACAGTTTTATATCTGAAGTGAATGTTATGAAGTTAATTGTTGCTTAGATCTGCTTTTGCTGCAAAATTAGTGCATTGCCAGAAAATATACGGCACTAAAATGCCTTCCCCATAAAAATGTGAAGGTTTAACTGTACCAGTTTTCCACAGAGAATTCCGCATGTCTCTATTCCTCTCACTGTATTTGTCTCTGCTAGCAGCAGAAATTTGTGACAGAGATCCCTGGGTAAAATTACACCTCTGAGTGCTTCAGCCAATTGAGCTAACACACAAACACACACAAAACAAAACCAAAGAAAGAGAAAAAAAAATATAATTTCCACAGTAAATTTCTCAAACGTAAGCAGTTACATGCAATTATTAAATAGGAGAGAATTATACTTATTCCATTACAGATTTCTAATGAGGCTAAAAATAATTTTTCAGAGTGGGTCACCAACCCATGAACGACTCTAGCTAACTTGATTTTGAAGCATTTTCTAGGCCAAGGTTTTCCAAAATTGTTCTTCAAATGAGCTCCTGCAAATTCTTCTTCCGCTCCCTTCCATGGTAAGATTCAAGCTTCTATAGGAAGTCTGAATCAGACTCCATAAGAAGAGTGAGGCTGTATTTCCAGATCCAACTATTAGATGGATCTATGAATTTGAATAGTAAAAAACATGGAAACATGAAACGATATAATTAATCTCACTTAAAATGACCAAACTATATGGACTATTTTATGTACATTAACCTGCTACTTCTTACTTCAAAATGGACTCCCTCACAGTGAATAAGTAATTACATATATGTATGCAGTATGCGGACTGCTTTAAGCAGCAAGGAAGCAGATTAAAAAAAAAAACCACAAAAACAGATCTATGCACTTACTCTGAACAGCACTTAAAGCAGCTGCTGGCTTTAGGGCCTGATTTAGTGCAGGTGAATGTCCAGCACAGCCTGATGTGCTACTCATCTCTTTTTTCTCAATCAATGTGTTAGATAAAGAACTGTTCTGAGGTGCAGAAATACAGGACAGCATGCTTCCATCTATCTGTTCAGACATAACCATGGTCTCTTTAATTTTCTGATCTCGAGCTAATTCTTGCTTCTTAAGTTGATCCTCAAAGAACTGGAACTGTTCGGATTCAAGCTGCTGTTGCCGCATATGTGCGATTCGTTTCTTCTCTGCCTCTATTAGCCGTTGCTGCTCCAATTTCCTCAGAAATTCAGCTTTACATTTGTTCTGAAACATATGCAAAGTAATTAGATTCTCAGAACAATACTGAAAAGAGTACAAAAAAATAGGACAGCAAGCAAAACACTAATAAGACCACCAAATTCTATCATTAAACTTTAAAAACCTTTCAGTCTGTGAGCTAAACTGCCAAACCCTGAAATATCCACAGAAATAGTCTGACATGGAAGCAAATACTGGAGGTATGGAATTCCTAGCACAAAGCTTTTGGTTCATATATCTGTCAGGGGTGGTATTTTTACTCCGGTAGTGATAACATTTGACTCATTTACCTTTGATGTAAATGAAGTGTTACCAAAAAAAAAACAGTAGTGGCAAAGAGATGAAACAGAAGTGTAATTCTTTCCTGTAATATTCATACATTGATTCAATATCCATATAAAACTTACTTTGTTTTGCATATATTCTTGATATTCTAAGTTATATTTTTTTAAAAGATCCTTCTTCAATTCATCTGTCCTTGGGAATGCAACTTCCTTCAATTTCTTTGGAGGGAACCAAGATAGAAAAAAATTACTTTTCTAAGAACAACTTGGTAAACAAATTCAGCTGTAATACAGATTTCAAAATAATAGTAAAAATAATAGTAAAAAACTACTACTCTTCTCACAGTAAAGAAAGAAATAAGTAAAAACTAAATCATCAGCTGGGGTCAACTTATATAGTACACTGATTTCAATTAAGCTATATTAATTTACATCAGTGAAAGGTTTGACTGCTTTTAAAGAAAGATGGTTCATTTTTCTAACCATCTGTTATCTCTGCTTTATTTAATAGATGAGTGATGACTAATTTTTCTGATTTAGTTGTATTTTGTACCTAAAGCTAACTCCAACTTTCATTATTTCAGGTAGGATTGCCACACTTTTCTCTAGGACTCCCTGGACAGAAATACAGCTGTGTATGTTCATTCCTCGTCGGGTATGAGGAGAGCTATTTGCCGAGATATCCACGCAGGTAACTTCTTGGAACCACCAAGGCAGATTCTTAACTTAAACCAACAAAAAATGATCATCAATGTTTGCTAGTGATGCACAGGCAATTACAAAATAACCTAGACTATTGGTTAAGGTGACAATGTGAAGGTGTGCCTAAGCCTACTGCCTTCTCTTGTAGGGGAGCATATGTTAGATGCCCTTTCTCAACAGGGATGTTTTCCTAGATTGTGTTTTAAACTCAAATCAAATTTGTCAGGAAGCCTTTTGGCCTTATGGATTAGTTATTAAACTTTAACAGTAGAAAAAAGCTAGGCAAATATGGCAGTATGAATCAGAAGAGACTGTTGGTAAGTCTGGATGTTTTAAATTTAGTATAAGTCTGTATTTGAAAATTCTCTTATAGCACAATAATAGTGAAACCATTTGTATTAAAGTGGAATAAAAAAAATCTGATAAAAATGGAATAAAACAACTAAATTAATATTTGGCAATAGAGAAAGCAAAAATGTACGTTGATTATTTAGCAGGGTAAGCAAAAATGTACAGACACCAGTTATTCCAAACATCTGTTTCTCCTTGTTTGCCGCAGTCAGAAGCTGGACTATTAGCTATTCATGTAACTGGAACCAGAATAAAAAGTACTGTTAGTGTATTTTAAATATACATTTTTAAAAACAGTTGGAAACAGTAGTTGAGTTTCCAATGATACACAGACTTAGTTCAGAGGTAGTGCTTGCTTACTCTTTAGAATAATAACATAATTTCCAAAAATGATCTAGTGACTATACTGAAATAAAACATGAATGAGAAATGGAGAAAGTTATCAGAACTTCAGACTGTGCCGGCTACATTTGGCTTCTGCTTACACTGCCAGAAAAGGAAAGCTAGGAAAGTTTCTTAAAGGCCAAGAAACAGTAACTCTACCTTAAAAATATCTTGTTTTTCCGGTACTGCACATTGGTGATAGTCTCGGTGACTGGGCAGCTTTTCTACAAACAAGCTAGAAAATTAAACACACATGTGTTTGCCTTAGCAGTCTGAGGAAGATTCATAATAGTTTTTATGCTGGCAGGGAAATAAGTTTCAAGTTAGAAATGCTAAGCATTGTATCCTAGATGACTTGAGCAGGTTCTACATATTCACTAGTTTAAACTATCACTTAAGTTCTTGTATGGGCTGGTATTGTAGACATGGTGTTATGACAGAAGATCATTTTCTAAGTCTGAATATATTTTGGATTTTTTCTATTTGGGTTAGGGGTTGGGTTAAGAAAGGAACAACCAGCACTCACTACCTGAAAATAGCCTCATTCTCCAACCTAGCCAGTGCTTTAATAATAATAAAGATGTCCTTATGTAAAAAGCAGAATCTTAGATGGGAAATCTAGAAGGCAGCACTATTATTAACACTGTTGTTTCTACCAGACCAACATGCACAGCTAAATGTAGTATTAACCCATCTAGCCATCTAAATTATGGAAACACTCTCAGCTGCAAAAATCATTGGGATACACAGCTCTGCCATTCTTCCTGCATTTTGTCTAATGTTCACCTCCAGATTCTTTTTCAGGAATAAAGGCATTTAAAATGAAGTTAAATAAGCAAGATTCAGTTTTAGTTTTCAGATCATGAGGGATGTAAGGAAAGGGAAGGAAGTTTCCTATGTATATATATATACATATATAATATATATATATTAAAGCACATAAAAAATATTTTCAGAAGTAGTGAAACAAACCATTCAGTTCTACAAATTAGGCTAGTTCAAACACTTAACTAACTAACTGAGCCATGGATATATTTTCAGATAGCTATTTTGAGAGTTGTAATGAATTTTGTCTGGATTTTCATATAATGATCGTTTATTGTGCATTTTGCATTTCTTCTCTCCAAAGGAAAAAAAAAAAACTTAATCCTTCTCAGGATTAAAGTAAAAAGAGAGATAAAAGTCCATTTCCTTTTATCTGAGTGCTGTGTGATACTACACACTGTCTTAAAGATCTGCAGAAGCTCATAGCTTTTACCTATTAGAGTCTGTAATATAGCCATGCACAGTATTTGACAAACATGCTGATTGAAACCCAATAACCTGCAGCCAGCAGTGCTCATAGTACAGCCTGGTACAGTAGACTGAAAGCTCAGCACTTTAGGTCAATTCATGACTGGCAGTTAATAGACAGATATGACTGCTATTAGTGGGGAAGAAATTACAACAAAGACTCTGGTTATCTCAAAAGAACAAAGCTACTCACTAAGAAAAGGGGAGCCCTGTTTTCAGCATGACTCTTTCAGTCTACTCAGAATCAAAAGCCGTAGTAACAACAAACTTTCTTACGTTATGAACTTATTATAAAAGACAAAAGCATTTTCCAGGTTGCCTTCCTCCAGATATATGGATGCCATTCGTTCCATCTCAATTCCAGATCTAAAGTAACGACGGGGAGTGATATCTTCATTGATTGTGATATTGCTGCCAAGTTTGCTCAAGGCACGTACTCTCTCCTCTGGGGTCACAGAGATGTCTGTATGGTCAGGAATAGCTACTAGCTTTTTCTGAAAAATAGAAGAGAGATTAGAAAAGAGAACATGATATGTATTCATTAGACCTTCAGCAAGTCATCTCATCCAAGAAACCCAAGGAAAACCTTCAGCTTTCTTTTTGAAGTAGCTAACTTCCTCCTCCTTGCTAGCAACATGTAAATCATTCTACCATACTTCTTCAATTGTGTAACAAATACAAGCGATTCTATCTCTCTCTGCAAATTACAAGAAATTCCAAGGGTTGGAAGAAAAAAAAAAAGGATAAAATTAAGTTAACCATCCAAAAGCAACACAAATTGTGTCATCTTCAGAGTCCCCCAAGCATTCTGTAAGCTATGTTTTAAAATACTGAAACATTTTGGTGGATGGCCTATATACTCAAACTGCTATTAGGTGATGTGCTTACTTGGCTGTGTATAGTTCAACTGACAAAATTCAACTAAATAAGTTTCCTTAATGAAGTCAACCATTTACTTTAGATTTAATTTTTAAGATTTAAGGGAAGCAGCTGAAGATTAAAATCTGGAACTAATTCTACTGAATAAGAAGCATAGCTGCTTATTATAAGCATTACCTTATAAGTGGCTTAATGAATAGTTAGTGCAAATTGCTTCCTCTTACTTTGTTGAAAAGTTGTACCCTTTCTATTTAAAATATTCACTTCATATTCTTAAAAACCTGATCACTGAAACAAGCTAAAACTCTTTAAACCACATTTACAAACAAAACAAAACAAACAAACAGAAAAGTTACAAAGGATCCATCAAGCAGAATGTGTGAGGAACAGGCAGAAAGCCCCAGAGGTGACACACAGCACTGCTAAGCACCTCTCAAATTGTTGCTTCTTTGAAAGAGGTTGCCGAGCCATTAGCATCTTGCACGTACCAGGGAGCTAACAGTAAATGGCTGTTCCATGTTGCTCTCTGTCTGCAAATCAAGGAACTGACTCTTTTTTTCCAAACTCTCCATCTGACTGTAAAAGACGAGACGAGCTGAAGTATCAATCCAGTGCAAACTGTCTCAGAGTCTATTAATCCAAGGGAAACTTCAGTACAGATATACTGATGGTGGTCATGTGCTGGATGAAACAGGACAAGAAGACACTCAGATGAGAAATAGATTAATGTGCTACACAGGTTTGTATCCTGAGCCCTCCCACTCACCACTTTGACATACAGTACTTATATTTGTTAGTAACCTAGAACCCAGTGTGTACCACGAATTTAAAACAGGACACTTGTCGACTAGTTGATTTAACATGATTACACTGGATTTTAACAAAATTCAACATTATTTTTACAATTTTTTACAGGTACTCCAAAAAACTTTCAAGAATTAAGTAAAAAAAAAAAATAAAGTTCTAAGAGACTAATCAGAAATCTGATTCCTTCAGCATGTTTTGACAAATATATTTATAAGCAGTGTGAATCTGGTATCTCTTTTTTCTGCTAAAACTGTAATTAAAACTAAAATCCAATTCAGTACACAAACTAATAGCAGTAACATAAAGTACAGGAAATGTTTCAAGCACCATTTGCTCCACCTGTCCAACTGGCTGACTTCAAGAACACACTAAATATAATGAAGTACGATGAGTCAAATGGTAGTAATTGCTCCCTGCACAGCTCTGAACAAGTGAAAATGAATAAGTAGACATGCTGTGGTCATTAGAAGAAAAAAATTTGAAAAGAAAATGAATTATTTAAATTATGCTGGAAATATGAAAATGAAGCTATTAATGGTTTTTCACTTCTGTGTTCTCAGTCTAAACAAATTTGATCCTGAATGTCAAAACCACTCTATGTACTGCAAAAAAACCCTAAAACTTGGGTGCAGAGCAGAAGTCCTGCACCCAGAGAAGGTTCTGCACAGATGTTTTCCCAGCGCATCTCTCTAAAGGCCAGAGGACAGATTTGACATTTGCTGATTGGCAAATAGGACCATGTTTAGTGCAGCAGGCGGAAAACACAGAAGCCACCAGTATTTTGTATTTTGTTTCATGACAGGATTCCCAAGGAGGTCTTAGTTAAAGCACCCTATGAAGTCTATTCCCCAGCAAAAATCTATTTTGAACTGGCACAATGCATACATCATGCAGCCTTTTCCCTGCAGACGTTTCTCATCTTGGTTGCTTCTAAGAATATGAAGATTAAAAAGATAAGTGATTTTTAACCAAAAGCAGTATCCATAGATAAGAAGGTCAAATTGAACACCAGGTGCATTACAGAGACATGGTTTTAGTAGAAACTCAGACTTCCTGAAAATTGTCTCAAAGCTGTGTTAAGGATGAAGAAGCTCTGTAGCTCCACAAGCTCCTGAGCACAAGTCAAGCCACAGTGAAGGTTAGCAGAAGTACTAAGCTTGCACCAGCTAAGCTTGCAAGCTATGTAAGTGTGCCCTACCACAGAATAAGGTGGTACTCAGGGCTGCACGGCCAGCCTGGTTAGCTCAAGTACATACTGAACTAATCAAGTTATGTAGTGTGGGTTTGCACTGCCGCGATGCCTTGTGTGGAGAGAATAAGCTTGGATGGATCTCCGTGCGTTTCTGTGATGTGCGCTGCAGTGCCTCTTAGCTGTGCTGCAGGCTCGTTATTGAGGCAGCCCCGATACCCGGGGTCGTGGTGCTCCAGCACAGACAGCAAGGCAAGCCAGGCCAGGCGGTGGTGCGGAGCCACCAGACTGACTGCGCGGGCGCTGCCCAAACCTTTCGGAGAAGACAAGGCCACGAGGAGCACGTCAGAGTAGCAGCATCCCTGAGGGACTGGCTGGCTGCAGAAACACAAGGAGTCAAATTCAACTTGATGCTTCCTTCTTCAGAAGATGCGGATTTTAAATCTTAAATGTTTTTTTTTTTACATTTGAACAGGTAACTGCTTAATATAAACAACTATTAATACATTAGTTTCCACTTTCCCCCTTGTAGTATGCTTTCTAAAATCCAAAGGACTTATAAAATCGTAACACTGACTTCAACACTGCCAGCAACATAAAAAGTTCCGACAAACTTGTAAAAGGGCACATCCAGTGAGTGCTGGATCACAGAGGGCTTGTTTCATGCCACTTGCTCCCTTAGGGTGTAGATACCTATCTGTACTTCCGTACTCTAAGCTGGCTGTTCAAGTGAATTGGGTGAAAGACAAGCACCTAACTCATTCAGCCCTTTTGAAATGACCAGCCCATATGCTGGTATTGCACATAAGCATTTACACACGCTTGTGAGTTTGGTTCAAAACATTCTAAAAATAACCTAAACAGCAAACTGCCTTCTGTTGCTTCTCCCCACAAAGCAGCAGCATGTTCATCTGTCGACATGTTTTTTGAAAGAACAGCTTCAGTTGAAACAACCCATTACAGCAAGTGATTCAGCTAGTACACTAGGTAGTTGCTTCCGGAAAATGCAGCAAAGCTCTGAATGTCACGGCAAGATCACCCTCCTGTGCAGATCAGAAAAGTGAACAACTGAAAACAACAAAAGAGAGAATAGAGAGAAGCTCTATTGGTTCTTTCAATAGAGAGAAGCTCCAGAAAGAACCACTTGCTGAAAGTCCCACGTCTTCCAATGGAGATAGTATAGTAGCATAGGAGCAGCTTGGCTCCAGAAAATGCTTTCTCAGCACTGCCCTTGGCACCATTGCACTGCGTTGCCAGCATCTCCTCCCAGGCTCCTACAGCTCCTGGCAGCAGCTGGGGAGCTACAGAATCGGCTCTCCCCAATGCTGGTCAGGGCTGCCTGCTCTTTGCAGCTGCGTGAAGGGACAGCCCAGCCGCTGCAGCAGCACAGCCTCGAGCTCTCTTTGCATGCTGTGTCAGGAGCACCTACACAGGAGCAGCTTTTCCCCTTTCCCCCTTGCATGCTGAGCACCCAAACCATGTGCAGGGGAGAGCTGCAAAACACAAATGTAACGCTACTCTCTGCATGGTTATAACTCGCAGTATCCTATCCTACATCACGTCATTCAACTTTACTTTCACATAGACAAAATATGGGTCACAGAAGGATCTATTCTCCTACAGTTAGAACTATCCTCTGAAGACCTTTAAAGTTATTCTGCACTTATGCAGGTGATTTTAGTCACTGAATTTAACTACTTAGATATGGTACCATGGACTGTCTGTTTTCTAATGCCAGTTTTCCTGTTGGGAGAGGTACAGATATGGTTGCATTAATAAGCCATGTCAATAAAACTAGATTTTTACTGCATCTCCTAAGAATCTGATAAACAACTACAACGTGCAAAATGACACACGCAAGAGCATCACTGCTACTCGTCTATGTTTTATGTCCCTGATAGGGAAGAAAAAGTTTTCAGCTTAGCCATATATGAGTTTTCTTATCTTCATGCACAAGTAGTAAAATGTGTCACATCATTATCTCCTCTTCCACAGACAGAAACCTCACTTGCTACCTTGAGGAATAATGCGGAATAAACTGATGGCTTACTTCACTACTT